AATTGTTCTAATGGTTTTTGTACTTCTTATTTTGTTTCAGTCGTTTGTTGGGAATCATCACTAAGAAGGATGTTCTACGTCACATAGCCACATTAGCCAATCAGGATCCAGATTCTATACTCTTCCATTAATTATTAAGCATGTCAGTAATTTTGAATGTAAGAGAGGTATATATTCTTGCAGCATCTAATGGTTTATCATTTAAAAACAACTTCATTCCATTCGCCCTACATTTGAAAACATACGCTTCCTCTGACTCCCATCAGAAGTTTCAATTCCAGCTGCACTGTGAGAATAGACAAATTTTTGATATCTTGTATGCCATTATGAAAATAAGCTGAAAATCATGTTTAGCCATAGACTAAATTTTACAGTTTAGTGTGCACTAGTCTCACTTGCAACATGAACTGAAAACCCATGAAATAATATTCACTAGACATAGAATAAATGCATTATTCAATAATTGATTTGTTTACAATCTCAACAATGTGCCAAGTGATTTTTGACTTCTGGTAAAACACATGCTGGGAATTTCTTGGTTAAAGACATTTACAAAAGGAAGAAATTCATATTATAGTAATGATGCAAAAAAAAAATTTAACTTCGTATATTTTTTAGATTCATGGCAAGGTTTTTTTTTTTCGGTTTTCAGTAAATTATATTGTAATTTTTACTGACAACAAATTCGTGGATAATCATATCAGGCCTCTGTCAGAGGTTTAGTATCTGCACTTATTACAGTGAAACCTTGATTTAATGGACCTCTATACAACAAATTCCTCGGTATAACAAACGGTATTCTTCCTCCCAGTAATAGTAAAATATGGAGAAGAACCCTGATATAACTAAACCTTGTTACAGCGAATATATTTTACCAGTCCCTTGGCCCTTTGTTATATCAAGGTTCCACTGTATATATTAGCTAGCTCTGTGAGTGGGAAAGATGAATCAAATCCTGCACTGTGATTGGCTACTGGGATTACAGTATTGTCCAAGTTTGTTCGCTCGAGGTGGGTGGGTGTAGCCTGGATGTAGCCTTGTTCTTTTTTTTTTTTGCCTGTTTATGGACCTTAACTGACTCCATCACCCACAAAAAAGAACTTGGCCAATATCCAGCCATCTTGGCTGAAGAAGCTTGGTCAATAACCCATATTTACTGTACCCTGGTTGTATTAAAGGTAAAATAGCTAGTCTTACAAACCCAATGCTCCGCAACTGCTGGAGCATAACTGGGTTTTGAAGCAACTACAACATTGCTTCTCCACCCTTGTTCTACCTAACCAGACTTACCACCTAGATCAATTTCTAGAGATTAAATGTTAACAAAACCAGTTACACTTAGTCTATCCACCACTAGCGAGTTATCCACTGGATAGCATTGTTCCTCTTTTGAACAACCAGGGCCTGGTGCATATTTCAGACTAGGAAGTGTTAAAACTGAATGAAAGGGTAGAAAAGGCAG